GATCGTTCTCTAGGTCTAATTTGCACTGACCTCGAAAGGACTGGCTAGGGATGGTATTCACATGATCGCCGCGACTCTTGTAGCGCGGTCGACGAATCTCCTTACGCTTTGGGTCTAAATAATTCTCCCAGGACTTAGCCAAAACAATAGCAATATAGTCATTGATGTAGACCAGGGGAATCGTCGCGTCCTCTAACAACTCCCAGCGCTTCTTCGCAAAAGGCTTGCGCAGATCAGTCACACCATAGGAATCAATCAAGGGATCCGTAAGCCAGTGAGATTTGACTAGACAGCAGGCGGGGCGCAATTCAATATTGTCGACATCCCAAGACTTGCGTCGGTCAATCCGCTGCTCAATAGCCAGATCACAATACATCGCCCACTCGCCATCTGAGGCTTTAGTCACCTGTAGTGCGACTGGTGTATTGTATGTGAGTTCGTGGTGAGGAACCTGGGAATCAAAGAACCCCCATCGGTCTAGGACATCAGGGTCTGCAGGGGTACCAATCGCCCAATGCTTGGGTGCGGGCACCCGCTTATTAGATTTAGCCTCTGGTTCAGCTGGCTCCTCCGGCACAGAAGGCCGAGAGAATAAGACCTGAGGCAGCTCTAACTTAGGTGGTGGATTCAAGAACCCCCAGGCAGATAAGATGTCTGGATTTACGGGGGCCTCTTGGATTTTCTGTAAGCGATTGGAATACTGACGCCATTCCAGTAGCGCTAAGCCTCTGTTATAGACTTGCTTGAGTATCTCCATCCAGCTGATAACCTCAGCCTTCTCTCTTGGAGAAAGCAGTAGTGGGAATTCAATTGTCTTCATGCGCCCCCAGTGTTTGAATAAATACTTTGAACATAAGGTGATATTACGGCACTATTGCGTTAGCTATCAAAAAAAATAAAGGAGCAAAAATTTTGACGAATAAAGCCTATTTCTTTGCGGACAAACGCACAGGCCAGGTGCGTCGCACTCCTATATACGCCAGCACTGCTAGTGCTGCTAAGCAAAAGCTGCATCGTCCCCCCGCCGACCAGGCCAGGGTGGCTAAAGTTCGCGCGGTCAAAGCTGCAGAACATCGAGCTGCGAAGGGAGGACGATGGGTTAGCTCTCGCGTAGCAACAGACTTCAATCAGTCTAGGGGGTTTGGTCCCAAGCCAGGAAGTTGAATCCTGCTCCCAGTCAAAGTTTCAATGGCCTTGGTCGCCTTGATCCACTCCCCCGACTAAAGTACGGGGGATTCGGGACTCAAGCAGCGATTGCCGTCAGAGACGGTCTAACATCGCCTACTCCCAGAGACAGAGATCCTGCCTCTTTAATGTTGTTCGCTGCGTTACCATCACGGTCATTGACCGTCTGACAACTAGGACAGCGCCAACGCCGCACATCTAAGGGCAACGACTCCAGTACATGCTTGCAATGGTTACAAGTCTTGCTCGACGGATACCACTGGTCTACATAACCCACAGTCTTGCCCTTTTTGCAGGCAACAAACGCTAAAATTTGCAGGAATTCACGGAAGGCTAGATCGCTGACTTTACGACCCCATAGCCGCTGCATTCCCTTTAAGTTAAGCGTCTCAAAAAATAAGTGGTCATACTGGTCTGTAAGCTGATGAGCCAGCTTCCAAAACCAGTCTGTTCGCCTGTTCTTGATGGCTTCATAAGCCCGAGCTAAATGCTTTCTAGCTCGTTCACGCCCCTTAGAACCCTTCTGCTTTTTAGAAAGGTGGCGATGGGCTAGCGCGATCTGATTAATTCCTTGCTTTAGAAACAAAGGACTCTTGATCTCAGAACCACCCGATATCGTCAGGAAAGTCTTTAATCCAAAATCAAACCCTGCGCTTTTACCTGTCATGGGTTGTTGATGTTCGTCTACGTGATCTGTGACGACGAAGATAAATATCTCGCCTAGTGGATTACGTTTGACGGTGATGGTTTTGACGTTTCCTTGGATCTCGCGACTGTTCCAGTATCGATAGATCTGCTGGCCAATCTTGATCCGACCTTTGCCAAGCAACTTATAGCTTGACTGCTTGAGGGTGAAGGATTTGTATTTGATTCGCTTCTTAAACCCAGGTGGCTTAGTGCCTCGACTATGGTACTTGAAGAACAACTGGTAGGCTCGCTCTATGCGCTGGCAGATATCCTGCATCGATTGAGAACCTACCAATTGCCAGTACGCTGAGGTCTTGCGCTTCTTGGCAATGTGCTTTTGCAGGTTGGAACAGCTTAAGTGCTGGCCATAGAGCCGATAATATCGCTTGTGCAAAGCAATACAGTGATTCCATATGCTAGAGGCAGCATTAATCGACTGATGAAGCTTCTTACAGCGCTTATGGTTATATAGCTTGAACTTAAACGTTTTCACTTTTATACTTTATCGCGAATTAAAAGACGGCAGATAAATCTGCCCGAGTCCTTTTCATCCCTGCTCTAAAGAGACAGGGCTTTCAAGTTCCCGTATGCTCTCCCGTAAACCTTGCCTTCCTTGATAAGCTGCGAATGAAAATGACAAACTTCGATATCGAGATGGGTCACCTTTTGCAGATAATAACTAAGCGGACAAGCCAAGGCTTGCCGAGCATGACCAACAATTTCGTTCCGGTCCTTGGTCTCTAACCACGCCAGAAATTTTTGCTTGTCTAGGTGTTCAAGCACAAGCTCTTGAGTTTGAAATAGTTGAAAATTTTCCATAGGAATTCCTCTAATTAGGTACAAAAAAAAAAGGCGACCTTAAGGTCGCCCAATGAAAGATTTGTTTGCTGGATAATTCTACTTTTGTGATTGAAAATAATTCCAGTTTCGATCAAGTTCCTCAACTGCTTCTGGATCTTCTTCTAGTACTTCTTGTAGTATGTTCCCCTCTAGTTTGCTGACAGAAAGATCTAGATTGAATATCAGTTTTTGCCCGCAGTCGATGCAGAGAGTTAGATCTCCAGGTCTGGGCTGAGAGACCTCTTCCTCTAGAGAGGTGACTGCATCAAGAATCTTGCCGCATGTGGGGCATTGAGAAGTTTTTGTTTTGACATACCAGTTTTCAGACATTAATTAATATCCTATTTTTTGCTAGCAATTTTTTTAAGTGCACCTGCGATCGCATTCAAAGATTCATTGGTCTGTGTTTGGATCTCTGCCTGTTGGTTAATCCGTTGTTTGTTGTCAGCAATCAACTCCCCCTGCTTTTCCAGCAGCTCACGATTGCTACTGATAAGCTCACGATTGCTGTTGATTAGCTCAAAGGTAGAGGCGCGATCCTCAAGCAACTTGACTTGCCCACTGCGCAGCTCAACCATAGCGTCAGTGTTGTCGCGCATAAACCCAGCCACCAGCCGGGTTAGTTCAACTATGGATTGGGTTAGGTTAGCCAGCCGTTGATCGGTTTTGCGGCCTTGCTCTTGAAACTCTGAAGATGCTGCTTCAATGGCTTTAGCATTGGATTCAATTAGCTTGATCAGTTCTTTTTCAGTCATAATATTTTCAACACAACTTTTGATATTGTTTTAGGGCTGGGTGCACACAGCCCTTTTTGTTAATTTGATGCTGCTTCAATCGCATTCTCCCAAGCACTTTGCAACCTATTGAAAAAGTGATCTTTCCAATCATGACCAATGCTAACTGTCGTTGGCTTGCGGATTACCTTCAATCCAGGCAGTTCGTATTGCAAGCAGTCTTGAAAATCAGCCAAGAACTCATCCGAGTAATCCTCTTGTCCGATCACACATCCTTGAACTCAGACTGAACTTCAGCGCGGAACTGCTTCAACTCACCATCTAGGCGATCGATACCTTTCTCATTGTGACGGACGTTCTCAGTGATACCTGAAACTTGGGACTCGATATTTTGTACATTGGGCATGTGGCTAGCTCCTTAGCTACAGCCTGCGGGAGGGGAATCCACGGCAGGCATTCGATCACGGGCTAGCAATCAAAGGCAAGCAAGCCCGATTGTTTTCATAACTCATATCGATGGTTCTTACCAAGGGCTGATCACAATCAGTTAGCCAGAGACAGCTAATCGTTTCATGAGGCTGAATCTTAGACCAGTTAGCCACTAACCAAAACCTGTGATTGCCCAGCGGATACAAGGTGCAACCTAAAGTCCCAGTTGGAGAATGGTTAAGCTGCAGCTCAAAGACTAATCCAGCAATAAACTCAATCTGATCAGAGCTATTTGTAATATGCATTTCAACGCCATAGGGCTCACAACGATAATCAATCGCTAGCTCAGCAGGGATACTCATATTAGTTACAAAAATAAAAATTGGCAAGCGAGTGATTACGGATTTGATCTGAAAACTAGAACTTCCTCAGAAATAAAATGCTTGTAATTGTAGAGCAAAGATCCAGCTTTTGCGTAACCACCCTTGAGGCAAGCAAACATTTACCATGTGGATTGTTTTGTCAATCCTTCGTTTGAAGGATAAACTGATCTTCAACCCTACCATTCTTTAGGAATTTAACCACATGAGCATAGGCACCAGTTTTCTTTTTTTGTAATTGTCTAACGACCGGCAAGAACCCTTCTACGTTGTTAATTTGAACAGCTCCCTCCACCTCTAAACTATGCCCTTCGACCACAATGACCTCCTGAAGTCTTTGTGGATCTGGCTGTTCATAAATCTTGTATACCCAGTGTTGGGTCTGAGTTAAAGAGGAACGTCTTAAGAAATTAGGGAATGACCAGGAAGACTGCTTACCCTCAGAGGTCGAGCCAGAACCAGAGGCAAGCTGGAAGTTAAACAAAAGCTTGTTAGATAATTGCATAAGCCTAAATAATAAATACCCTGGGCCTTCTAATTCAAGAGTATTTATTTATTTGAATCAATAAATTTTCGACTGCTTTGTTAATCCTGATCATTATATTTTATTGGCCCTATTATTATTATTAGTTGCTCACAAGCCGTTTCCGGTGTGAACAAAATACGCTCGCTGCAATAAAATAATTACCGTTACAATTGTTAACAAAATATAAATTCGCTATGGGACCTCTGCCCATTTACCTCAATGAAATTAATTATCTTGGATAAAGATGGCACTATAACGACACCTGCTAGTGGCGAAAAGTTTGTGCAGCATCCACAGGACCAGGTGTTACTCCCTGGCGTTTATTCGGGGCTGGAGTGGTATAAGAGCAAAGGTCGATACTTGGCGATCGCCTCTAACCAGGGCGGGGTAGCTGCGGGCCATAAGACATTAGAAGAGGCTTATCAGGAGATGGCCTACTGTCGCTATCTGTGTAATCGACTCATAGATGCGACGTATTTTTGTCCAGACCTAGAAGGCAATCAGATGCATATCACCGATCAGATTGCAGAAGGATCTCGAACATGCATTGACTTAAACCAAGAGGACAAGGATAGTTCAGAGGAGAATAAGCTATCGCTTTTGAATACAAGCTACTACCGGAAGCCAGGGCCAGGAATGCTTAAGCATGCTATGCAATATTACAACGCCAGCCAAGACGAAACGCTGATGATTGGGGATCGGCCAGAGGATTTTGCTGCAGCGGAAATGGCAGGCGTAACATTTCTCTCAGCCGACAAGTGGCGAGAAGAGCTGTTGCAGCTGAACTAGAGCGACCAAGGAGTCTGATCGAAGAACTGAAACGCAATCAGAATCATAAAGTTAGCAAGACTGTAAAGGATAGCAAGGTTAAAGCACAGATGCAGAGTCTTCTCCATGTGCTCATGACGCTCAATCTTGCGGGAGGCTCGTACCATAGTGCCCTGGTGACCTTGGAGATCCCCTAGAAACACTGGACCCCGCTCCCCTTTAATAGGGATGAGGGGTCCAGAGTCCGCCTCTGAATCTATGGGGGGATCAGTATCTCCAGAGGAAGCTTCTCCGCTAAGGGATGATGCCGATCTTAGGTTTTGCTCAAGTACTACCTGGGTCGTCATCAAGTCCCATAGGGTCATTAAGCTATGGCTTAACACTTGCTTTCCCGCTGCTCCTAATACTAGACCTATCAGGCATGCAGCAAGGATGCCTGGATGGCTGAGCCACCCGCCTTGAAAGCCCAATGCCGCAGCTGTACTGCAAGCAAGTGAACTGGTTAAGTAATACCGCACCTGTCGATGGAGATGCTCCGTCTGAAACTGCATCTCATTTTGAATCAACAGATACTGCTCAAAGGCTATGCTGTTCCATTCAGAGTTTTTAAACATGGATTGATCTACATATTGATCTGACGAGAAAAAATCAGAAGGGAAAAAATCAGGGGGAATAAAGTCAGGCGGCATGAGCTAGTCAAATGATTTGACTCAAATATACCTCAAGCAATTCTATGCCAATGTCATCATGGGCCAGCGCTTCATAGGCTCCTTCCTCGGGGCTAAAACCTTGGTCGTAGCAGTCACGACTCATCCAGTCAGCCAAGCTGTACAGGTCAATTTGATTGCCCGTAATCATCAGGACCTGTTCATTCACTTGAGCCAACCAAGACTGAAACTCCGTATTGTCTAGGCTTGTACTCCCGTAATGCCCCTCGGTCAAATCTCCAAGTACAGAATCAGTAGGATCGGGTAAAAATTCTTGGGCAAATTCCGTGGCCGGATTAAAGCGAGAGGTTTCAAAGGATGTCATTATAATCTCCAATATCGAAAAATACATCAACATTAAAGCCGGAGCGCAGCGAAGGCAACAGCTCCTTTCCTCTTAAAGATTAAAGCTTAAGCTGAGCTGATCAATTCCACTCGACCTTGGTGATCACCATAGCTACTGTGAGGAGTCTTGTTCTCAGTTACTTGATTAACGCAATTACTGTATTGGCTAAGAATCTGATTGTACTTATCTAGCCGACGTGTCCAGCGGGCAGTCGCCTTTTCCCTTAGTTTAATTAGACGGTGCTGGTCTGTATGGTTTTCGGGTATTAAAAAGTCATGGCCAATAATAAATTGCTGCTCTTTCTTGATTAGCTCAAAGATCAAATTGTCCGCTTCATTCACTAACAGACTATAGTCTGTTAACTGCAAGTGCCAGTAGCTAGCTAGGTCAATGGCAGTATAGATTTTGTTGTGGGGATAGTAGATGGATGACATTTAATTTCTCTAATAAGTTAAGTAGGTTAAGCAGGTTAAGCAGGTTAAGCAAGTTATAAACACAGTTGAAGGTAAGCAACATTACAATTAATGCTGCTCGAATAAATTTAGCAGGTTAAAATTTTTGGCCAACACTGAAGAAATTAGCGCAAAACGTTTCAGAAATATAGACCTTTTTTAGAAAATCTCTGCCATTAATTTACAGGCTAGCAAATGATAATTCGTTTTGGTGGTTTGTAACAACCGCAGATAACAAAAAGCCAAGGAGTCTTGCCCTTGGCTAGCTATGGAGTGTTGTTGATATTATCGCTCAAAAACAAAAAAGAGTACTAGGGATAGGGAGACTAGCACTCTATTAGAAATCGGTTGACTGACCCATTAGTTAGGAATATGTTATCAAGGATTTCCTGTTATTTCCTCTTAGTTTTTTGAAGCTAGCAGATGCAAGTGAGAGTACCGGCGATCATATCGGTCAATTGCTTTTTCTAGCAAGTGTTTTACCCGCCGTGCTTGGTGGGCCTCATTGGCATATGCTGCTTGGAAATAGCGAACACGCAAGCTTTCTATAAGGTCATGGGCTTGGTCGGTGAGGTGGGAATACTCAGTAATTTTGTCTGTCATAAAGTTTAAACGCAAGAAATAAAAAATCTAAAATCAAAAATCTAAAATCTAAAATTAAACTGCAGCCCCAGCCTTGAGCAACTTATCAATCAGCTGAGCCTTGAATGGTGTACGAGGCAACGTATCAATCTGTTTTTCCAGTAGCTCTAAGCCCGAGACAGGTAGCTGTCCAGGTACTTGCCCAGAGCTTAGGAGGTTTTCAGCAATGGGCTGGTCATGGTACTGATGGATTAACCTTAGGTTTTTAGGGTCAGCTCGTCCTTCCCCTAGGCTGCCAATGGGAAAAGCTAGGAACTCTTCCGCTAGATCCCGATTAGGCTTAGCAGAAATGCTATACGCAAACCCCTCCCTAGGTCCAAGGCCATAGTAGCCTTTCATATGGCCCTGGTCTTGGGTTATACGTGCATACAACGGATCAACTCGCAACTCTTGATTAGCGGTAGGATTACCATAGAACTGGCTAGGGGTTTGACGAGAGCTCGTATTAAACCCACGGACGCCGCCTCGGGTCATGTACAGCTGCCATTTATCCTCAGGGTTATCAGCAATCCGTTTGCTTAGAGCATCATGGACATCTCCCAGGTGCTGAATCTGTACTGAGTCTTGCATCTTGTGGGCGACATCAGGCCAGTCCCAGTCTGCCATCGGAGTTTTAGCGAAAGAAACATACTCAATCGGTCGCTTACCCCGTGCTGATTCAATCTTGTAAACAACTTCTGGATCTGGATAGCTCAGGTACTGACCCGTCTGTTTGTAATTTTGGTTATAGGTATCCATTAATTGCTGAGCGTCCTCAGCCGTTAGCTTTGAGTTACGCAAATAGAAATCAATTCGATCTCCTTGGCCAAATTTTGGATCGATAGTGCCGCGATCGCGGTGTTCCATTTGCGAGCTAGATGCGTAGGGTACCGACTCATCCGTAATGGTCACCTGTTTTACCTGGGCTTTTGGTAGCCCCTTAGGAATCTGTTGCTGCTTTTTCTGCAGGGGAACTGGCTTGGGTCGAGCAAATCGTTTAAGCATGATTAAAGTTCGGTACATTGAGATTTGGCAGAAGAATCAAAACACTAGGGTTTAACTTGCCAACCCTTCTTGCGAGCCAGGGCTTGAGCCCGACGCTTCATTGCTGAGGAAGTCTGCTGAGCCTTCATACTCTTTTGAGCCTTGCGCTCATTGATGCGAGCCTGGGCTGCTGCCGCCTGCTTCTTCATCGCTTCCACCTTTTCTGGGGTAATGTCAGCCCGAGCCTTGCTCACCTTGTCGCGATAATCTTGAATTGACTTATCCCTTTGCTGGCCTAGGGTCTGTTGACGCTGCTGGTATCGCTGCTCCCCTCGCTGATTAACGTCAGCAACAACATCCTCTGATAGACCTGGACGGTTGGAAATCACCCCCTCATTAGAAGGCATGCCCATGTTGGCAGCCTCTTCAATCGTTTTGTTATAGGCATCTTGAGCATGACGGCCTTCAAGGATGACCGCATCTAGCCCGTCCGAGAGCGCGTAGTACGCCTGCTTGCTCGCTGGAGTTGACCCTTTGAACTCTGGCTCCTGGTCCCACCTGGGCTCGGGCACGGAGGACCAGTCCTGAGAGCGATCCACGGAGCCTGC